GCTTCCTGTAGTAGACATTTATTTAGAACCTTGCTTGGGTCTTAATGTAGCAATTCTAAATTATTGGCAATGACCATTTTTTTTAACGTGTGTGTTTCTCAGAATGTCTTCTTATTTCTGTGTTTCAGAGTAATCATTAGCATACCCAGACTCCTGGGTGACTTTACCAAGAGTCTTAAAGTTTCTTGCATATCTGTTTAAATGAGATCTTATGGTTTTCTAGATATATAATCTTGATACTCAGTTCCTTCATATTAATGCATGATTACCTAAAACGGGGGAAGTTAAATAAAATGTAAAGCCATTAGATTTAGAGGGGAAAATATTTGCTCATTGAAGTTTTTCTTCTGCCCTTCAGTTTTTCTGTAACCCTAAGAAAGTCATTTTAATCTCTGGTCTGTTTCTTCAGCAACAAAACATTCATTCTCTATGGTAGCTTATCATGTAGTGCCTGGCATATGGTACTAACTGTAGTATTGATCCTGGTGGCATAGAGGGCTAAGCATTGGGCTGCTAACCAAAAGGTCAGCAGTTCAAGCCCACCAGCTGCCCCTTAGGAGAAAGATTTAGGGAGCAGTTTTACTCAGTCCTATACAGAGCTCTGGTAGCGTAGTGGTTATGAATCGGGCTGATAACCTCAGGGTCAGCAGTTCAAAACTACCAGCTGTTCCGTGGGAGAAAGATGAGGCTTTCTTCTCCCATAAAGATTTTCAGCCTCGAAAACCCTGTATAGGGTCGCTGTGAGTCAGAACCGACTCCACTGCACATAACCACAACAACACTAGGGTCGCTATGAATCTGAACTGACTCAGTGATAGCGGGTTTGGTTTGGGTTTTGGTTTCATAAGAGTTGGTGTAAAGGATTCCTAAACTGTAAATAAAGTTGTTCCTAAATTTACGGAGAAGAGTCCTGGTGTGGCGCTGTAGAATATGCCCTGGACTGCCGACCAGATGACTGACGGTTCAAATTCACCAGCTGCTCCTCAGAAACCCTATAAAGGGTCACTATGAGTTGGAGCTGACTCAACGGCACTTAACAATATTATTCCATATTATACAATGTGATTGATTTCACATACCTATTTCACCACATGACAAGTAAAATCGGTTATAAAGGAGGCTTCTGATAATAGTAAAGATTTGTGACAGATGCCTCCCTGTCTACACATAAACCAACTTACATTACAGGACATTAGAACTTACCTACAGTAAACATTATTTTATGCTTTGAGTAAATGTCCACTGATATGTCATTCTTTCTCTCTCTCTTTTTTCTTTTAATATGTAGGGTGTTCCTGAAAAGCCACATAGTGATTGAGTCTCAAACCCACTGATTCTGAAGAATAAACACCACTTGGGAAGAAATTGGTGATAATGGATTGTAACAAAGATGATGTTTTCCCTAAATAATCTATTTTGATTGGGCTGCCTGTCCCATTGACTCCTGGAAGAGTATTCACTTATTTTACAATAGAGAAGTGGGAAGAGTAACTACTTATCTTGAAATCTGACCTGGATTCATTGCACTCAGACCTGTCTGTGCTCTGGAGAAATGTGATCACAGACTGTGGGTGGGAGTCCAGCCCAGGGGCAGTTTCTCAAGTATTAAGAGCCCATTTATATTATTAAAACAAGTTGCCATATTTCAAAGCCTTGAACTAAACTTAATGACCATGTATTGGTTTTGTAACAGTGCCCAGAGGAGACAGGTTAATGGTGCTTAAACAGATAAGTATGGTATAATAAGAATAATATTTGTCCAAAATTTTTTTAAATAGGGTTGTGTTTTTTAAAAAAACAAAACACTTGTGTGTGAGGAGCTCGTGCTCCAGTTTGGGTCTCTGAGCCATGGGATGGAAGGAGCCCCTCGCTGCCTAGTGCTGCAGAGCCTGCTCACACGCTCGTGATCACACACACACACAGCTCCTCCCATCTGAAATTTTGTGTAGACAATCTTACTGAAAGCAAAAGGCAATGAAAAATCATAGTTCTACACTGATCCGTTGAAATTTTCACCTCAGTTTATGAAATCTGTATCAAATCCATAATCACATAAAAAAAAAAAAAAATGTCTACACCACTGCTGTATACTTCAGTCTCCAAGAGCCAAGATGATTTATTTCTTTGATACCCCAGAATAGTACGTTGTTGAGGGTTTTTTTTTTTTTTTATCCACAGCCCTATAGAATCTGCAATCTGTGATTGCCTTGTAAAAGAAGAGTGCATATGTCACTATATTAAACATTTGGTGTTTCTAAATAGTCAATTATATTGGTGAGCACAATGTATTCATTTAATGGTATAGACCATTCAGACCTAATTTGCAAGCATTAGGTCTTAAACTTCAAGTGCAATGTATATAAAAACCAATCTGAGCCTTTCTATCCTCTTAAATATTTATTTTTTGTTTTGTTTTTAATGTGTGGATGTTAAAAGAGAGGGATTCTGCATTCATTTCAGTGCTGCAGGAAGGCAAAATTCAGCAATAATTTCTTTCAGCTGAAAAGTTCCTTTATTGTTGCACCTTCCACGGAACGCTGTCCTTTGAAATACTCCAGTTTTGTGGGTTTAGTGTACTTTCAGTTTTTACTTACAAATTTACCTTTTTTTAATTATGCAATTTATATATTTTTGGTTTGTTTTTGATTCTGTTCAAGTGGCTTAATGAAAAGACGTTTCTTTTAAATAGAAGGCACCACTCCACAGAATGGGAATTAAAGCCAGCTTACCTATGAGTATTGATATAGTTTGATTTGCTTTCTGTGATGGTTCTTGAGTTTTGCTTTGTTTTGAGAAAGATTTCTTGGAGTACATGTTAAGTTATCATAGCTAATTTGTTGTAGAAGAAATTTATTTAAAAGAAAATTGGATTTTTCTGAACTTTGGGATGATCCCTTATAAATTTTCTGAAATTGAAAATGATTAGTTATGTAAAAGAAAATTCCCAGTGAACATGTCAGCATTTTATGAAAAACCAGAGGTTATTAGATGAAAGCAGTGGATGAGTCTTTGAAATATACTTGATCATTCACAAACAATAAGTATTTTTTTTCTCTTCAGCTGGAAATCTATATGTTAGAAAAATAATGTAGCTAAAAAATGTGAATCTGAAGAATTTCTTTGCCAATAATTTATAGCAAGTATATGAACCAAAGTGATTTGAGTTTGTAAAAATTGTAAAATAGTATGAACAAACTTTGCACTATACCAGAATTGAATATAGTGAGATTCACATTCATACTAAGTTTTCAACATGTGTTCTTTTTGCATTCATTTTTTTACTTTTATTAAAGGTTCAAAACCAACTGTTGTATTTTTTTGGATTCTTCTTTAATCAGAATAAGGGTATTATTTTATGTATATTATGTTAGCATCTGAAATCAAAGAATGTTTTATGGCTCTTCAGATTTTACTGAATTTCAGCACCACCTCTTAGGAAAGCATAGTTTGAATATACATTTTCCTTTTAGTAAAAATTAAATGCAATAAAGGCTAACTTGAATCTCTCACTTGCCCATACCTCCCCACTGACACATTGAAGGGAGGCATCTGATAGCAGCTGAATTCAAAGTGATTAGCACCCAAGAAAAGATGTAGAGCATCCTGTATAACAGCCAGGAAGGGAGATAAGCAGCATGGATGAGAGAATTAGGCAAACCAAGCGTGTAGATATAAGTAAGTGAAGGAAACAGAGCAAAAAAAGGGTGGGGGGAAGGGGACATACATGTAGCAACTTATTAAAAAGAAATAATACATAAAATTCTGACGTTTCAGTAGACAAGAAACACCATATCACCATATGGTCACACAGACTCTTAGAAACATGTCTTAATTATCTACTGCTGCTATAAGGTAATGCCACACATAAATGGCTTCAACCGAAATATATTTTCTCACAGTTTGGGAGGCTAGAAGTGCAAATTAACTAGCTGGCTGTAGGGGAAGGCTTTCTGTTGGCTCTGGAGGAAGTGCCTTGTCTCTGTAGGACTTCTGCTCCTGGACAGTCTTCATGTGGCTTGGCATATCTTCTCCCATCTCTGCTTCTCCACTTCCTGTGTACTCTTATCTCAAAAGACTATCTCATGACACACCTTACACTAATGCTGTCTCAACATAGCAACAGTTCATTTCCAAATGGGCTTAGAGCCATAGGCATAGAGGTGAAGATTCACAACACATTTTGGGGAGACAATTCAATCTGTAACATTCTACCCTTTACCCCCACCCCAAAGTTCATTTCCTTGCTATGGGCAAAAAAACATTTATCCTATCACATCATCCCAAAAGTTAAACCCACTCCAATTCCAAAATTTCATCTTCTAAACATAAGGGTGAGACTAGTTTTTCATCTAGGACAGAATTCTTCATTTGTGAACCAATGAATCTAGAATCTGTTATCTTGTTTCCAAAGTACACTGGTGAAATGGGCGCAAAGTTGACATTTCCACTACAAAGGGAAAAACTGGGTAGAAAGAAGGAATAACAGATACCAAGAAAGTCCAAAACCCAACAGAACCATCTGCATGAGCTCTCAAGAAGCCCTGGTAGTGCTGTGGCTTAACCAAAAGGTCAGCAGGTTTCGTATCTGCCAGCTTCACAGGAAAAATGAGACTTACTTCCTGTAAACATTTACAGCCTCAGAAACATGAGTCGAAACCGACTTGATGGCACACACAGATATCTCCATCACCACCTCAAGGCTTTCCTATGTTTCCCTGAAACAGTATGGGCCTTGCTCTCTAGGTTGAGTGGTGATTTTGCTTCAGTTCCACCTTACAAGCAGATGGGAATGGCAATTCTCTGAGCTTTGGGTGGTCCCATTCTCCCAGTTTAAGTGACCCCATCCTCATGCCCCCAGCAGGCCTCATTCTTCAGCCCAACCCCTTCAGCTTTGGGCAATAGTCCCATTCCCAAAGCTGTCATGAACAGCAGCCCCGCACTACAGAACCAACTTGGCAAAGATCTGGCTGAACCTAGGAGGCTGTGGTCCCACTATCTAAATCCAGAAGACCATGGCTCCACTCTTGAAATTGAGAAAGCCCTGCTTCCTGTGCTCCTTCCAACAGTGTGGCTGCTTCAGAAATGGTCCTTTTCTTTCCTTGGAGGACAACAGGTGTAGCCTTTGGTCTGCCTCCTACCTGTAGAATTGCAACAGTTAAACAGAGTGCTTCCCTTTCATTCTCTCTCTGTTCCCTTCAGTCTTAGTGGATAGGTTTTCTACAGTGGTGGTTCCTTAGATCTGTAAATCACAGGCTTAATCTCTTTAATGAAAGATGTCATCACATGCTTGGTGAAAATTCTAGGGCACATGTCCTCAGTTTGCACAACAGAGTATTTCAAATCTTAAAAGTTTTGGTTTCATTTTACACAGTTCATTTTTAAGTCCATCTCTTTCCTCTTATATTTTAATATAAGCAGCAAGGACACACCATGTATCCCCTTGTTTAGAAATCTCAAATACTTGTCAGACAACAAAATCGAGTCTGAAAAAAATGGAGATTTACTGAAGGAATACTGCAATTGGAATTAGACAGTGATTTTATAAAACCGTAAATTGCTTCAAGATACAGAAAAGAACTTTTTATATAGAAGGCTTTAGGAAAACTAAATATTAGTCATACATTAGTAACTATAAGTCATGCATCAGTTAATCTATAGACGTCCCGGAGCAAGCCTACGCAAGCCTTTTCCAAAAATGGTCTTACTTATCGCTTAAGGATAGGAACAGCTTGTGCAAAAACATACTGAGAGCATTTGGAGTTCTACCTTCCCTCCCCCAGCTTCTCTGAGTGCAGATTAACCTATTACTGTAAGTTTAGCACAAACTCCTGTTTTTCAGGTTTGTTAGTAAAGTATAAAATGGTGATCAGTCTGCACCCTGGCATCTAGATATTGGGGGCGCTTTCACGTATTCAAGTTTATCACTTACAAATTCTATCTTCCACCAAACATTTGAACATAATTTTGACACGTTCTTTGTCACTACATATAAAGCATCAGCCCTCATCCACTGTAGAATCACATGATCCTCATTTCCTTTTAAAACCTCACCAGAACCACATTTAATGTGGTTGAAACTTTCTCTATAGCTCACCTCACTATCTTTTGAACCCGCACCAGAATTGTCTTTCACCAACAGTCTCTTCAGGTCAATCTATATAAAAATCAAACTATTCAAACCAAAAAATTTAAAAAATCAAACCCACTGCCATTGAGCAAGCCTCCTCTTTCTACCGATGAGTGGTTTGTGGATTCAAACTTCTGACCTTGTGGTACACAACCAATGCATAACCCACTAAGCTCCTTACTGTTATGCAC